TCACTGCTAGAAAGAAAAAGTAATCCTTTCTCATTTCATTCCCTCTCATACTTCCAGAATGTGGAACCTCAAAAGAAGATCTTGTTTTTCTTCTTTTTATTTTACACATAAACGTTAATTTTCATATACATGCCTCAATTGAGCTAATTAGAAATCTATCAGCTAATGGACACATTCTGCTCTCTGAACTCTCAAAGGATATCTAAGACATTTTATGTGGTCTCTGTAACTTCACAGAGTCTGGCTCTGTCCTCGTGACTTCCACCCTTAAGATATTTGTATGTGTTGATGAGATCACCATTCAGTCTTCTCCAGGCTGAACAAGCCCAGCTCCCCCAACCTTTCCTCATAGGGGAGATGATCCTGCCCCCATCATCTTTGTTGCCCTCCTCTGGCCTCAATCCAGTAGTTCATCATCATTCTTGAACCAGGGAGCCAGTACTCCAGGGGTCTCACCAGGGCAAACTAGAGGGGGACGAAAAACTCCTTTGAATTTGCAGGATTGATCTCATCGTCCTGGAGAATTCCTTCACTTTTTTTTTTGTTTCCACCTTTCTGACACAATACCTTGGAGTGCCTGATGGTATTTCATGTGGATAACATATATAGTTAGAAATTGATCACTATGTGCAAGAACTACCACTCTTCTGAAATCAGACCACTTTTCAACAGGATAGTGGTGGTAGTGATTTCAGTTATCCTGTGCTCAGAAGGAAATCTATATCCTCAGAGCTTATCGGGTCTGTCTGTTTCCTACCAGAGCTTGAGGTACTGAGCTTATGGTCATTTAAAAATTTGCTGCTGTCCACTTTTGACCTGCACCACAAAGTGAAACGCAGGCCATTCACAAGTGAAACTGTGAACATTTTCATATTTATAAAATACAATAGATGAAAAATGGGTTAAAAAAATAATTACAGCACCTCACGTGTTATTTTTGACCTGGCTTGATTTCCTTTTCAGAGACTCTTATGGGCTTTCGACCCGGGCAATATAACTTACAAGATGATCACTTGTTTATCACAGGCACCATTTGAAAAGCACATGGGAAGACTGTAGGCTACACTGGACCTGTTTCAAAGATGTTCTACAGCAGCAGTACCCGAGAAATACGTTAAAAGATCAGACCTTTGCTTCACAAATGCTCTTTTGTCTCTAGCTTTCTGCTTGGGTGCTTTGTATCACGGTCCATGTAAGAGATATCACTGTCATCGAGAGCCGGCTGTTCCTCAGAGCCTGTTGCTAACATCAGGCTGTGAGATTTGCTTTTTGGCAGTGCATCCAAATGCTTCATGAGGCAGGGAAGTCTTCCTTTATCTCTGTTCACAAACATCAGGACCTTTAGTGCAAGACATAGCTTGCAGTCCAAATCTCCAAAGGTTAAAATGTCATCTTAGCCAATGAAAGCCATTTCTTGGATGCAGAAACAAAAGTGGCTGGTTGTCTTAGGCAACATGTAGTCAGAGGAGCCACCAGCTGAATCTGTGACTGAGCCTCAAGTGGTCAAACTGTCCCTCCAGAATCTTCTCAGGAGAAAAATTTATTGGGCCGTTTCAGTATTAATTTCCTTGTCTACCTCATGTTTGTTACTCTTGGGCTTGCATCACCCTGGGCTCTTTCCAAAGCAGATATAGTCTGGGACATGGTAAAAAGAGTGTGCCTTCTCACCAGTATCAGCCAGTGCGGTTGTTCCCATGCATGCATACAGGAGAATGTATGATTGTATCCATTTTTAGTAGTTGCAAGAGCAAACTTTTCCATTTCTGTAGCCCAGCATCAAAATGCATATTTCCTTGGTGTTCTCTCCTAAGTTTATTTTAAATCCATTGTTAGACCAAAAGTTTAAATCATGTTTTAAGAACAGAATTTAATAGCATAGTAAATTTTTTTCTCAAAGGCTGTGAATATGAAACGGAAGCTGATCACATAAAATTAATGACACAAATTCAGCTTTCCATGATGAGTTTCCATCTTATGGTCTGATTTTTCTCTCTATTGACATCAGCAAGGGTGTAGCAAAGGCAAAATAAAATAAAAGATATAAAGCAGATATTAGGCATTGCAGAAGTATCTGATAAAATACACCACAAAAAAAGGAGAACGCCATGCCTTGTTACTGGGCTTGTTAATATCTTTCAGTGTAACTTTGTAGGGCATTTCCATGAAATCGCCCACTAAAATATTTTCTGAAAGTCAAGAGCTATTAAATTAGGGGGATGATGCAGATGCGTACAGGGTCAGAGGAGTAGAAGGCAGCTTTCCCGTGCAGAGCAGCACTTGCCATGGGGGCTAATTCTTAAAGAAAATAAATCTTCACCACTAAAGTAATAAGACCGCTCTAGTTAATACACATTACCTTAGCGGCTAGCATGTCTTGTAGTGCAGTATTAGCAGTTCA